CCTCTCTCTTCCACTCTAGGGCTCTGTCGGACAAGACTGGGGCGGCCCTCACTTTTTGTTTTGCCCTGCGCCCTCTGTCAGATGGCGCGGGAACTGAAGATCCGAGGGTAAAGAAGTTCCCTCTCTCCCCTCTCCTTTCCCACCGGACATTCCTGCCCTCCCCACCCCCCATCCTGGGAGGTCCTGACCCTCCACCCTGTCCCACCACCGGAAATGGACCCACAATAAAAACCTGAAAACCAACTGCGCCTACATCCTTTTTGTCCCAGGGAAGGAATCTGGGTGGAGAAGGAGGTTTGGTGAGGGAGGTGGGGGCACAGGGAAGATGCCTAGGTGTGGAAGGAGTTCCAGAGTTGAGTCAGATGCTTGACCCCGATCTGCTGTGTAGGACGTTGGCAAGTCTCTTCTCTCTCTAAACCAGGGATTCCTCACTAACAAAGTAAAACCACTAACCCCTTAGCTGCCTACCTGAAGCTCTGCCCAGATCCTGAAAATAAGCAAAACCAGAAAGGCTGTCTGGGTACAGTCCTGTCACTAACTGTTCAAAGAAAAAATTTAGGAGAGCCCACCTGCTCGTTCAATACCTACAGACTCTTGGCCTATACACAGTTCTATCAGATTTAGGGGCTCTTTGTCTTCAAAACACAGAACTATCAGGTTTAAAACACTCTAGAGCTGAAAGGAATGCTCAAGGATTATTCAATTCAATCCACTCTCTTTATTGCAAAAGCAACTAGCAGATTAGAAAATGTTTTGAGTCTCAAAATTGGATAGACCTGGGATTCAGCCTTGACTCTTGCCACTTACTAGCTGTGACATCTTAGTAAATTAATAAACTTTTCTGAGCCTATTTCCTCCTCTGGGGATAATCCCTAATATGTCATATGGCTACTGTGAGATCAAGAGATGAAACAGATGGAGAGTCTGGAGTGAACTTCACAAACTGTTGCTGTTAATACTATTATATTACATATAATAATTTATAACTATTCTAATCTTACTATATTATATTAATTGCTGTTCTCTGTATGTTTTCAACCATCAAGTGACAGCTTCACTTAAAATATCTAAAAAGCATCGCAAATTTAACATGTCTAAAACCTAACTCCTGACTTCTCCCCCAAATCTGCTCTTCCCCCAGTCTTCCTCATCTTGGGAAATAGCAAACCCCATCCTTCCTGTTGCCTAGTCAATTTCTCTCCCACCAAATGTCCAAACTGTCCACAAATTCTGTTGGTTCTACTTTCAGAATATATCTAGAATTTCCCTTCTCCCCACTCTGCAGCCCCCACCTTGCTCCAGCCACCCTCCTCTTCAGCCTAAACAAAGGCAGTGGCTCCACACTGGGCTCCCTGTCCTATCCTTACCCTTTTAGTCTCTTCCCCATGGAGGAGCCCTGTGGACACCTGACATAGGTCACATCCCTCCTGTGCTCAGAACCCTCTCATGCCTCCTCCTGCAAAGAGTAAATGCCAGAGTCCTCACGGTGCTTCATGGACCTGCACAGTCTGCCTTATTCCCTCTGTGACCTTGTCTCCTCTTTTATTCTCTCTACTCCACATGAGTCTCTCTGCTGTTTCTCTGAAATTCTAGGCACACTCACACCTCAGGATCTTTGCACTGGCTGTTCCCTCAACTTGGAATTCTCTTTCCTCAAATGTCCCTGTAACTCGTTCCTTTACTTCTGCTCCCCTGTCATCTTATGAGAGCGGCCCTCCCTTCCACCTTACATTAAATAGCAAGTACCAACCCTCCCACCCCTCTCCTTCACTGCCTTATTTTTCTAGTCATTTTCCAACATACCACATATTTATTATCCAGCTCCCCACTGGCTTGTCAGCTCCATGAGAGCTGAGACCTCGTTCACAGACCTTGTCCAAAAAGTTTGGGGCCCAATGTAGGTGGAAGCCATGTGTGACCACAGGTGAGAAACACTGGCTTAGAAATGGGAAGTGATTTTAGAGGTAATATGTGGAGGGCAATGGAGAGTCAGACAGGTTTGTGTCAGAATCTGGACTCACCTGCTGATCTGCCCTGAGCTCTTAGGCAAGGGACCTGCGCATCTGCAAAATGGGGGAACAAGCCCATACCCCCCAGCAGTGATGTTGGGAAGATTAAAAGACCCATGCCAAGCACCCAGCACAGTGCTGTGCTGTAGACCCTTGATAAAATTTCTCCCCTTTTTCTAAGTCCCTCGGACATTGGTAGCCACACATGGGCAGAATCCAAGTCTTTAGCATCCCGTGTCCAGGCTTTTTCTCACTTTACCACAAGCCTCTTATGTTCAGGTATGTGGATACCAGGGAGAGGTGCCAGCTGAGGGACTGACAATGGAGGAAGGAGGAACACATGCTGGGGGGGCATTTGTACAGGGCCATCTGTGCAGCAGTGGCAGGAGTTGGAGGGAGAGTGGCTTTGTGTCCCAGAGAAAAAGTCCAGAGTGCAAATGCTCTGCTTAAGAGGGCCAAGTCACAGGGTGACTGCTAGGAAGAGACCTGACCGAAGGGTCCAAGCACAACACGGAGGAGTCTTAAAGAACCACCTTGGTTCCTTCCTGCTTATGCAGGATGACCCCACTGGCCTCGGGACTCCCTAAGGCAGCATGTCCCACTGCCAGTTAGCTCCCCAGGTGGGAAATTCTGCCTTATCCTGAGCAGAAGCTGGCCATTTTGAACAGCTCTCAGCTAGGTCAACCTATGCTAAGTAAAGCAGTTCTTCCTTGGGAGGTGGAACAGCCTGGTGGTCAGACACGTGGATGTGAGAGTCAGAAAGTCAACTGTCACTCAACAGCTAAATACTGTCTATGAACTTCTGATTTCTCGTCTGCAAGATGGGGATTGCACAGTACCTACCTCACACAGTTGATTGTTGGAAAGATCAGCAACATGCCAAGTGAGCCACCTAGCGCTGATACTCGGTAATACAAGTCCACAGGCACGTCTTGGGAGGTTAGGCACCACTATCAGCTCATAAAGGCAAAACATGTGTGGACAGAGTAATTCCTGAAAATTCCTTAAATTGCCCATAATGTCTGAAAGTATCACAATATTCACGGCCCACACTGGAGACCCATAGGCCCCCTAAATCCAACGCATCGCCACGTCCTGGCCAAATATCAGATGAAGCAGCCAGCCTGTGCCAAGAGGCTGCGTTGTGCAAAAAGTACATTATTGAACACTCCCAGCAAGACTCCCACACTGAACAAGGTCGACTGAAGGGACAGAGATCTCCCGCCCCGACCTTCCCTGGCAGCAGGGCTCTTGCTTGCCCAGGGGGGCTGGCAGATCAAGGCTCCCATGATGCTCTTGGCTTAGGCTGGGAAAGCCTCCCTGAATTAGAGGAAGCTCACAATGCTAGGGCCTCATTTCAGTCTTTGTGCTGCCTGAACACTTCTCTTACATCAGGGTCCAGAATAAAACCCAAACCTGCAACCAAGGCAGTCTGTTCTCCTTCCCGAGACAAGCAGGGTTCTCGTAACAGATCTGGGCAAGGGTCAAAGGCTTCACTGCCCTTAGGTCACCTCAGTTCATCCCTTCTGGAAGACAAGAGCTTCTGCAGTGGCACCACCCCCACCCTACTAGGAGAGACAGTGAAGAGCCAGGCCCAGGCCACATGGTTTGGAAGGGGCACCAAGATAAGGACATTTACTCCATTTAACCAGCACTTGGGTGCTGAGTCAGAGAGCCAACAGCCCATCCACTGCATGCAGATGGCGCTTGGACACTGGGTTGTCCCATACTCTTTATTTGATGTTTCAGTCGCTCCCACTATTTCAGATGGCACCTGATAGCACAGGTGGATGGGCCTCTTAGACTGAGGCTCCCAGCAGAGCGGAAGACACAGGGCCCAGCTCCCCAAGGTCCAAAAAACACAGATGGGGGGGTGGAGTCTTAGGAAAGGAGTCCCAAGTTCAAGATCATTAGGAGGCGGGGGGTGGGGTACTCCTCAAGGGGTAGAAGGACTCAGAGGTCCAAGGTGGTGGCTGGGGTGAGGGCAGGCCCTGGAGAGAGGCCAGAAGTCGTCAAAGTAGCATCACTGGGAAGAGGGCTGTGTTGAAAACTCCGCCATTTCTGTTCCCGAACTTGGTATCTGCCTCCACAACCCCACCCTGCCAAAAGGTAGCATCTCAGACAGGGACTTTGTCTCCTCATGCCCTTCTGAGCCTTGCGACCTTGGCCCTGGGGTCAGGTAATACC